AATGACTTTTTGGTAAAAAAAAGAAACTAGTATTGCTCTATTTCTCATGCCGCCTCCTCTGTGCTACTATTGTCAAATGTATTGATATGTGTAATAACCCCACAGTATGATGTTAGAATTTCTGCTTTGAGCACTCATATGCGTTTTTAAAAGGTTAAGAGAAGAAAATATATATTTATATTGTTAAATATAGTTTTATTTACCTACATGCTTGCCCCTTCCAGTGCTTTCATTCCTTTCCGTGAACTGGTTACCATCTGGTATTTTCTTCCAGCCAGAAGGACTTTATAGTTTTTCCTGTAGTGTAAGTCACATAGAAACAAATTCTATTTAGTTTTGTTTGTTTGGGAAAATATTTATATTAACTCCATTTCTGAAGGATAGTTTTATTGAATAGTGAATTCTTTAGGTGATAGTTTTTTATTTCATTTTGCACTTTAAATATATCATTCCACTGCCTTTCAGCCACCATTGTTTCCTATGAGACATCAGCCATTAATTGTATTGTTGCCATAAATATGATGCATCATTTTTTCTCTTGCTGCTTGCAAGATTACTTCTTTTCTTTGATTTTCAGTATTTAGACCATGATGTCGAGGCGCAGTGCTCTTTGTGCTTATGTTATGTTGGGTTCATTTAGTTTCTTAACTGTCCTAGTCTGTTTGGGCTGTTAAAACAAAATAACATAAACTGGCTGGCTTATAAACAACAGAAATTTATTTCCCACTGTTATGGAGACTGGGAAGTCCAAGATCGAGGAACCAGCAGATTTGGTGTCTGGTTAGGATCTGCTTCATAGATGGCTAACTTTTTCCTATAACTTCACATGGTGTAAGGGAGGAAGAGTTCTCTTGGGCCTGTTTTATAAGGATACTAATTCTAATTCTTTTCCAGATAAATAAAACTGAGAGATTTTATTTCTATAAGGCTCCACTCTCTGACACCGTCCCAATCACCTCCCAAAGGCTCCACCCTCTGACACCGTCACATTAGGCATCAAGCTTCAACATGTGAATTTGGGGAGGACACAAACATTCAGACCATCGCACTGACTTTTTAAGTCAATGTTACTCACTAACACTGACTTTTCTCAACTGCTTCTTTCTTCAAATAATTTTTCTGTTCCTTTTTCTCTTTTTTATCCCTTGGGACTCCTATTACATTTATATTTGAACACTTTACATTGTCTGGCAGGTCTCTAAGGCTCTGTTCATTTTTCCTAACTCTTTTTGTTCTCATTCTTTAGATTGGATAACTTTTATTGCTGTATCTTCAAATTTTTTCTTCTGCATCTCAGATCTGCTGTTGAACACTATTTAGTGAATTTTTAATGTTAGATTTTTTAGTTTTTAGCTCTAGAAATTTCATTTGACTCTTTAAAAAATAATTTCCATTTCTCAGTTGAGATTCCCTTTCTGTTGACTCATTGTTAACATAAATTCTTTTAATTCTTTGAGCATATTTTCCTTTAATCCCTTGAAAATAACCATAATAGCTTAGAGTCAGTATTGACTTTTTCTGGCCACAGTTTCCTGTTTCTTTGCATGTCTAGTAATTTCTAGTTGAAAATTGGACATTGCAGTAATTCTGAATTCTGTTTCATTTTCCGAAAAGCTGTTGGGTCTTTTACTAACTTACCTGCACTTTAATGTCCGAGTTGGTCTCCTCGATGGCGTGTAGCCACTGATATCACTGTGAGGTTTTTATTTTTAGTATTTTATTTATTATTATTGTTATTTTAGTCTGGTTTTCTAACAGAAAATTTCTGTTTCTGCAGTATTTAATGGTCAGGCTATTATTTGGACAGAGATTATGCTCAGACACCTTGAATATATAAACCTTTCACCTGCTGCTGCCCAACTTGTGTGTGGTTGGAGTAATAAATTTAAATCTACAGTAAGCCCTTAGGTTTTCCTTGGCTCCCAGTTTTCACTGCATTCTCAGGTCTCCCTGACTCATGCATATTTTAGAAGCCTGTCTGGCCCTTTCACGGTTCTCTAACTTCCAGGATTTCCCCCTTTACATTTCTGGGTGATCATCTACCCACTCTGAAAAGAGGTTATAACCATTACGAGGCTAAGCTGGCAAAGCTGCAGCATTTCACTTCTTGTCTAGAACGAATTACATGACCTCTATCTTATAAACCTGCAGTTTTTCATCTTTCCATCCCAGACCAAATCTGTCACTTGATAACGTTGCTGACTTTTTCTAACAACCCTCGAAACAAGCTCACCATTCCCACTGGTAAAGCTGTGGTCCTCGGCACCCAAGCTAAGGCATGGGGGAGGGTAGAACCCCTAAGCAAGAAGACCACGGATTCATGGTGTTTTATATGCAATAGCAGTTTTGCAAGATAAAGCACTTCTCAATTCGTTGTCTGCCTTTGGTCATTTTCTGGGGCCCTAAAATGATTGGTTTTGACAACTTTGTCTAGTTTTACACTTGCTTTCTTCAGAGAGAAATGGCCCAACTTCTCATATCACCATTCCTGAAGCGAATCTTGGCCTGGGTTATTTTAATGTTTCTTCCACTCGAATATTCTATTGCCCACAGCTTTCGATTTAGATCAGAAATGTACTGGTGTCAAGAGACTTGTGAAGACGCATGACAGGAGAGCTCCACATTTTGCATAAGTCACTCCAAATGTGCAAAAATAAATGAGGGAGCCAGTGAGGCTGAACACTGAACTGGGGGGTTTCGGAGCTGGGTTCTAGACTCATGCAGCACTGAGCATTTTCTCCGAGGTTCTCTAACAACATGTCTAAAAAAGACACCCCTACCCTCACCTGACCCGCCTCAGTACTTCCCAGCGTCGCCCCTGGGTCTTTCCCCCACCTCCCCTCTGCCTTTTTCATGGATTCTACGACTCTGTGAGGGTGAACATGGCTGAAATTAACTTTCACTTCTGCTCAGACATCTGAAACCTAAAAGCAAGGTCATTTCCTTGTTCTTTTCTGAGTAGCTGCTGGGATCCGTTTTTGTTTTGTGTTTTTTCCGACCCCTGTCTGTTGGAGGTGGACAAAAAGATGAAGTTTTTTTTTTTTTTCCAGACCACACAAAGGCCAGTTTGCCCTGAACTTTCCCTCCCTACAAACTGTCACAACCCAGCTCATTACAACCTTAAAGCAATGAGCCAGTCTGAGGAAAATAGATTTTCTCCTTCAGAAGGTAGATTTCCTGCCCCCTCCCCCTCCACACACCCTATATTCTCTGTATTCTCAGGTCCAAGTATGTAAAAGTTGTCCAAAGATCACTTATTTAGTTTCCACTGATAAAAACATTAGACATAATTAGACAGCATTACTGATCCTCGTTCAGTAAAAGGTTTGACTCAGGTACCTGCCTCTAAGAGTTTGCGAGATACTTAGTCACAAATCATATTCAAAGCCATCTCTTTGGTAACTTTCCCCAGTAATCTCTGACGGAGTTATTGCCCCCACCTCTGTTCTAATACTTTGCTTTGCGGAGTCTTCTATATAATGGGGAATGGTATTTATCATACCCCGTTATAATTGTCTACTGGACCCCTTTCCAGGCTCCTTAGGCTGTGTCCCTTGGTAGAAGGTCATGCCTGTTTATATCTCTACCTCCAGATCTAATGTACTAATGTGTGCTTACCACAGAGCAGACATTCACAAAAGTTTGTTGTATTGATTAAATTAAAATAATAAGACTAAACAATCTCATCTCAAATTAGTAATTTGTTAAATTATAAGTTTAAGGAGTTCAGGATTCTTTCAACTTGTGTTTAACATGTAGGTCCAACTCTTGGGTGTCCGGCGATATAACAATAAATTAATAATAGCTACAATTCACTGAGTACAACTGATTCTGGACACTGTTCTGGGCCCTTTGTTACCAAGGATAGTAAAAGACAAAGCAGTTTTACAGATCAGATTTGAGACTTAGACTAGGCATATTTACATCAGCTACCAATTATTTGGAGTTTACTAAATTCTAGATAGTATAGTAGATACTTTTTGTACATTAATCCATTTATTTTTACAAAAACCTTTTGGAGGAAATGAAGCAGAATGTTTCCAAGGAGACTTAGGACCCAAGAACTCTATGTTGCTATGAACATCTGTCAAAAAGCTCTTTCCTACCAGGCACTCACAGCAAAGCATTGTCTTAGTCCTAAAATCCAAAGAAAGAAACTCCATGAGGAACCTGAGATTGTGGACTGTAGTTCTAGGCCAGGGGGAGAAGCAGATCTGTCCGAATTCTGTCCCCCACGAGGTTCCCAGACATAAAGGCAGGAGAGGAGCCCACCCAGTGGCTCCCTTTGGTGCACGGATCAGAAAGTGTGTGACTAGTGGCTCACCTGTCTGGTTGGGCCAGCAAGCCCCCTGAGGTCATCTCAGCAATCTTCTTGGTCCTGTTGGTCCCTTGGCTGGTGGAGTCCAGGACAGCACCTCCCCACTCTAGATGTCAGTGTCCATTCCCCATTGCCTCCATTACTCTCTGCTCCTCTGAGATGCAGTGCCAGGTGAAGTAGCACATTGAAGAGGCTCTGAGAGTGAAATCAGCTAGAGTGCTATAACAAACAAACAAAAAATGGGGAAGTGACGTGCATTAAGAGCCAATTTTGTGCCCATCTCTCATGCTCATTCTATCATTTGTGCTCATAGCATCTCATGGGCCAGGCTGAGAGAATGGTGGCCCTGGTCATGCAGATGGCACCAGGCAGCGGAGCCCCAGCCTTTTCTTGTCTTGCAGACAAGCGCTGCGAGGCAGAGCGAAGTCCCCGATAGAGTTAGCCTGAAAGTTTACTAACTCTGCCACGTTTGTGTAGGAAAAACACCACCCCCCCCCACCCCGTGTTGGTAAACTCAAACCCCGCGAAAAAACTTTCAAGTAGTACAGGGGCACTGTGACCAATGTGGCCCAGGGCCAGAGAAAGACCAGCCACTCGTGGTCCTTCCTCACTGGCTGTTCTGGGGCAGTGGCATCCTCTGGGCCCAATGAGCCTGTGGAAGCTTTCAAAATGCTCGGGAGGGGCGGGGCTCCTTGGGGGCAGATGGTGCAGCTCTGATCACAGACCGGGGAGCCTGTCACCTCTGCCTGGTACTTGCTGAGGGCAGGAAGCCATGAACTATGAGAACTGATTGAGATGACTGGGATGGACTTTTCCTTTAGAATTTCATCAGGAGTTGCTGGTTACAGCTAAAAGGTTGCTGCACCACAAGGGCACTGGGATTGGAAAAGCTATGGTGAAAGGCCACTGAGCATTACCAAGGTAAGACTGCAACTTCCGTTTTCATGATCATCTTATTTCCTTAAACTTTGACAACAGTGCTCTGAGGCCCGTAGCTGGGGGAGCTGGCAGGAATATCGCTATGGATGTTATAGATAGAGAGAGAAGACATTTATGTGATCTGAGCCACAGCTATGAATAGCTTGTCCCATCGTTGGTTTGTTTCTATTTTAGAGAGTTTTTCTGATTTATAAAAGTCCATCTGTCCAGGGTAGATTCTCCTTCTTGGGCTTTTTAAACTGGAAAAGGCAATGTTGTGCCACAGAGAGAAGGTGGAGAAGGCTGTGGGCTGGGGACATGGGTGGGCACATATATGCCAGTTGTGGGGGTGCCAAGCAAGTTATCCAGCCTCTCTGTGACAGGATAATGACATCTACGGGGCAGAGCTGATAGAGGCGAGCAGTGATGGGGGAGCGTCTGGCTCAAGATAAATATTGGTTGTTGCTTTCGTTTTGTTTTACTTGTTTTTGAATAAGGTTTCCCATTTTTCAGGCATTCAGTGTGGGGTGATGGAATAGACTTAATGATGACCTTTTTTGGCTAAAAGATCTATTTGGCCAACTGCAAAAAGGAAAGAACAGTTGACAACTTTTTCAGTCATTTTCTAATTGGCCGCTGCTTTCACCCTCAACTATCCCCATTACCAAGAAACTATAGAATTGTTATCATCGTGCTTCCATAGTCATAGAGAAAAATTCTGCATAATATGTATGTAGATACCCTTCTTCCTGGATAGGAGCTGGAGTCCCCTCACCCGAGTGAGGGCTGAACCTGAGTACAGAAAGGGAAAAACAGGAACTCTATAGTGGAGAATCCTGGCAGACAGCACGTTAGGCAGGTGATTAAGGTTAACGTCTTATGACCTTAAGTCATGTATTGTGGAACTCTGGCTACAGTGCAAGAATAGTTCTTCACTTCTGTGGTATTCTTCCCCCAAACCCATAACCCCAGTCTAATCACAAGAAAAACAACAGACAAATCCAAACTGAGAGACAACCTACAGAATATTTGACCTTCAAAGTTGTCAAGGTCATGAAACCCGAGAAACGGTGGGGAAACTTGTCACACATCAAGGAGAGTAAGGAAATATCATAACTAAATTCAGAATTCACATCTTGGATTGATTGGATCCTGGAACGACAACAAAAAAGTCATTAGTGAAAAAATAGGTGACCTCTAAATAAAATCTGAAGTTTAATTAGTGTCACTTTACCAATACGAATTTCTTCATTCTGGCAAATGTACCTGGTCAGGTAGGATGTTGACATTAGGGAAAGCCGAGTGAAGGGTATATGATAAGTCTTTATACTATCTTTGTAATTATTTTGGAAATCCCAAATCATTCCAAATTAAAAAGCCAAAAAATAATTTATACTCATCCTGTCTTAGAGCTGAAGTTGTCAAAATCTAAACATACTTGGGAAGACTGGCAATGGTCCCCACCCTCTCTTCGAACATTCTGGAACACAGCAGGCCTTTTGCATTTTTTAACATTCTTTCTCCCAACCCCCACCTTATTCCTGGAAAGCTCTGTATTTCCCTCTCTTCATGGTATTTCTCATCATTCATTTATTTATTTATTTTTCATCCAGTATGCATTTTTTGAGCCCTCACTCTGTGTCAGGGGGTTTAAGGCCAAGTACCCCACCCTCTATGAGTCCAGCAGAGGTCACTGGGCTGGATCAAGCTCTCGGGCCTCCAGGTGTTAACCAGCTACCCAAATCTGACCCCTCCTGGGCTAGGAAGCAGAAGGCCAAGAATGGAGGCAAGTGGGGTCCCAGACCGTGCGTAGAATACCCGGATGGAATCTGCCATCCTCCAGGCTCAACCATCCTCATGGAATCTGTGGCCAGCCAGGCAGCTGTGAGTTGTGCTAGAAAAACACTTCCCTCCCAGCAAAGCCGTGACCTTAGGGACCCAAAGTGGGAATCCAAGGGCCAGCTCCTACTTGAGTGACAACCTGGTGTTGGGAGCCTACTCTGCTGCCTTAGAATCTGCAGCAGCCAGACGAGGCCACCAGAGGCCAGCATTCTTGCTTATGAGATTCAGGTGTGTGGGGAGGTGATGGGGAGACAGAGAGGCCTGACAGCCCCTTCACCCTTTCCACCCTCCCCCCCCCCACACCCTATGAGCCTGGCAGAGCAGGTGCACCCTCGTTCAAAGGCGATGTCTTAGCCAGATTACAGAAATGCTTCAGAAGCAGGTGAGAAAGAAGAAAGAGTGATGAAGCCACAGGAAGACAGCACTTAGATGAAAATCACAACACTTAGATGAAGATTAAAAGTAAAGAGTTGGGATTACCACTGAGCCTAAACTACCTTTCCTGTCACATCTATTGCTCCCCACACTGCCTCCCTGTCCCCTTTGACTACACCAGCGTGCGCTGCTCCTGGAATGCACCAGCGGTGCTCCTGCTGGCCCTTCTGCCTGGGGTCCCCTCCCACTTTCCCATCTAGGCCAAGTCCCATTCGTTCTAATTCTCAGAACCAGCGTCAATGTCTTCTCTTCTGTCGCCAGCACCCAAATCCATCCCTGTGTCCCCAAGAGCCTCCAGCATATGCTGAGGGCTATTTGTTTTTATATCTGCTGTCCCTCTGGACCTGAGCTCCTCCAGGACGGGGACCAGGCCTTCTTCTGCTCCCTTCTGGGTCCCGGCACCCAGAACAGCATCTGGCACGTGGTGGGCAAGTGAGGCACCAGAGGCGCAAAATTGAAAAAGGGCCTAATTCACAGTGTCACTCAAGTGCAGGGAAGGTTCGTATATGTTCACAGAGAGTCTACAAGGGTGTGAGATGATCTGCACTTAATGTATTCAGCCAAGAGTTCTGACCTCTGAGACCATGGGCCGCTGATGAGTTTAATGAGACATACAAGCTTCTTGAACTTGTACGCAAGCTTCTGTGGACATACACACCTGTTTGCAAAGAGCGTTTATGGTTTTCATCAGATTCCCCAAGGAAGCTGCCAACCCCTAAATATTTGGAATCACCGAGTCTAATATTTAGTGGGGATAAATTTAATTTGATCTCTCAGTGTGTTGTGGATATAAGGAAGTGGAAAGAACTTGGGCACAGGAGTAAGACAGAGCTGAGAGGTCCTGTAGCGTAGAGTTTGGACGCCTGGCCTTGTGACCAGAGGGCTTGTGTTCAAGGTCCAGTCTTGCCACTTCCTGGTTGAGTGACCTTTGGCAAGTTACCAAATGCTTTCATGAGCTAACAATAGTTTGACCTCTCTCTGTACTGGCAGCCTTACCTAGCTCAGGTAGGTTTCTTATATCCTCTACTTTTATTTCTCTACTTGCTGATAACAGCACATTCCAGGGTTATAAGAATTAACACTCAAAGCCCTCATTCTCAGGGGAATTGAAATCAAAGAGTCCACAATATTTCTATCTAGATTCTATTCAATTCTCCATGTAAGAATCACCAGAGGAGTCCTTGTAGTTTGAAAAGGCACATTGTAATTTCTGTGGCTTATTTTTATGCATATTTATTTTGAAATCTCGAAAAGGGAGAGTGTGAGTTAATATTTATCAAAAGAGGAAATGAGTTTAATAAGGTTGAGAAACCTAAATCTAGCTATGTTGAGTATTCCGCCTGTAGGGAGCTGGTCAGCCTGAGAGCAGTGTGTCTGGATCTCAGAGCTTGAGGTATTCAGGGACCGCATTCCAGAATCAGGCGAGGGCGAGGGTGGGCCGTCCTCGGCTCATGCTGAAGGCTGCTGGAAGAGACAAGGTGGACACTCACTGTGGTATCATTGCTATCATGCCACTGAGACCGCTGTACACCATGCCACTCAGGACTACCCTGAGAGGGTCTCAGACTCCAGACCCGGGAAATCCACGTTCTCTGGAACAATGGATGTCTTACAGACACTGGCTCCTCAAACCGATAATTTCCCACTCTCTGTTGGGACACTTCTCTCCAGGTCACCTCGAGCCCAATTTGCATCTAACCATTAGCAGTTGAGTAGCCCCATCTCATGGTCTGTGTTTCTGTTACCAGTTTTACCGCCAGAAAATTTGCTTTTCTGTCTTAAATTACCCTTTGGTTGGATTTCTTCATCTATTTTTCTCTCCTATTGCTTCATATTTATTTTTATAAGTGGGCTCACATCTTTTTGGAAATATCAGAAAATGAATAAGTAAACAAAACCAGGACATCATTTTTGAAAGAGCTTGATGCATGGTGTGAGGGCTTAATAAGAATTAGTTCCCTTTCCAAGTGCAAAACATAGAACAATTCCTTGGTTTTTAATTTTATCAACAGGGCCAACCTTTAGTGGCATAGTCAGCTGTGAGTCTATTATAGTTGTACAAATAGCCTCAGTTTCAACTGTCTATTTTTACAGATAGGTCATCTCGTACTATTACAAAGATTGTATATAATTATTTCATGTTAAAATTTTTTTTTATTCATGCCATTTCTAGTACTATTAGATTTTTTAAAATAAAATTAATTCATATCTTTTTTTTTAAAAGCATTCTACTTGAAGATAAGATCAAAAGTAATAACCATTTCATGATTTTATTTGGGTAGCTTTATGGAAAAGGCCGAACGCTCCTTTTCCTACATATCAACACAGAAAAGGAGTCACTTCCATTTTGTGGAGTCCATCTGTCTGATGGACCCCCTGGCACTTGTCAGTCCAGTGGGAAAAGTGTTAGGCTAATTAAGATAGACACCTTCTAGACTAAAAGCAATGGTATGATGGTAAATGTTTAACAAGCAGCTTTCCGGGAAATGTGCACGTATACACGAATTTAAATTTATTACAAATTTTTACCAATATAAAGGATGTATAGTACACAATTTATATACAATATAAATTGATTACCCATGGAATGCTTTTGTTGACTTTTGCCAAACTTTTGACTCAGTGAGGTGAACCTTCTTTGCTAAATTAGATAATAGTTTTTAATTATTTGAAAAAAGTCCTCAATTTTTTTGTGCTATTCACAACTACAAGCAAGACACGTTTTT